TGGTTTTCACGCAAAACTCGAAAATTCAAGATTAGTGTGCGTCTTCAGAACCGCACTTATTCGTTGGCTCGTATATACAACACCGGTTGAGTTACGAAATTCTTGTTTTCATTGCGAGATTGAGCGTTAAATTGCGTAGTTTTTTTATGCCAAATATCATTATAACAATGTTTCTGGTTTTCACGCAAAACTCGAAAATTCAAGATTAGTGCGCGTCTTCGGAACCGCACTTATTCGTTGGCTCGCATTTAGAGAACCGGTTGAGTTACGAAATTCTAGTTTTCATTGCGAGATTGAGCCGTAAATTGCGTAGTTTTTTTATGCCAAATATCATTATAAAAATGTTTCTGGTTTTCACGCAAAACTCGAAAATTCAAGATTAGTGCGCGTCTTCGGAACCGCACTTATTCGTTGGCTCGCATTTAGAGAACCGGTTGAGTTACGAAATTCTAGTTTTCATTGCGAGATTGAGCCGTAAATTGCGTAGTTTTTTTATGCCAAATATCATTATAAAAATGTTTCTGGTTTTCACGCAAAACTCGAAAATTCGAGATTAGTGCGCGTCTTCAGAACTGCACTTATTCGTTGGCTCGCATTTACAACACCGGTTGAGTTAGGAAATTCTAGTTTTCATTGAGAGATTGAGCGTTAAATTGCGTAGTTTCTTGTGCCAAATATTATAAAAATGTTTCTGGTTTTCACGCAAAGCTCAAAAATTCAAGATTAGTGCGCGTCTTCAGAACCGCACTTATTCGTTGGCTCGCATTTAGAGAACCGGTTGAGTTACGAAATTCTAGTTTTCATTGCGAGATTAAGCGTTAAATTGCGTAGTTTTTTTATGCCAAATATCATTATAAAAATGTTTCTGGTTTTCAGGCAAAATTCCAAAATTCAAGATTAGTGCGCGTCTTCAGAACCGCACTTATTCGGTGGCTCGTATTTACAAAACCGGTTGAGTTACGAAATTCTAGCTTTCATTGCGAGATTGAGCGTTAAATTGCGTAGTTTTTTATGCCAAATATCATTATAAAAATGTTTCTGGTTTTCACGCAAAATTCGAAAATTCAAGATTAGTGCGCGTCTTCAGAACCGCACTTATTCGTTGGCTCGTATTTACAACACCGGTTGAGTTACGAAATTCTAGTTTTCATTTTGGGATTGAGCGTTAAATTGCGTAGTTTTTTTATGCGAAATATCATTATAAAAATGTTTCTGGTTTTCACGCAAAACTCGAAAATTCAAGATTAGTGCGTATTTTCAGAACCGCACTTATTCGTTGGCTCGTATTTACAACACCGGTTGAGTTACGAAATTTTTGTTTTTATTGCGAGATTGGGCGTTAAATTGTGTACTTTTGTATGCCAAATGTATTGCTTACTACTGAAGACAACTAAGATGACGACTAAGAGGAAGAATAGAACAAACGCAAAAAACCGGGCACTTAATAGTAATAAGAAAAAATGAGCAAAACGAGGCATATGTTTGGGACGAAAACGCACTAAATCTGCACTAAAAACGATTATAATTAACGAGGACGAAAAATAACCCCTTCTTTAAGAGTTCTCGATCACAAAAAATATCCTCAAACGCCATAACTCTTTGGATTCAGATTCAAACCGATCCCAATGCAACGAACCAAAATGATTAAAAGCGGGAAGAACCTTCAGAATTTTGTATTCAAATCAAAGGCTTCGAGAACAAAAAAAATAAACTGACGGGAAGAATCGCTTTCTGTTAGAGAGAGTTAGAAACTGGTCAACAGATGATGAATATTTTGCAAAAAAGCGCCAGAAAAACACCAAATCCCTTCGAAGAAATATTTTTTGCGCGGAAACCATGACTTTACGAAGAGCGCAAAAATGCATCCATAATCCATAAAGGATTAGGTAATGCGTTAACGTAAAAAAAACCAGTTGATTGCAGCTTCGAAATAACAAGTTCAGGTAGTTTTTGTACCGAGATACTGTTGAATTCCTCACTTGCCCAAAGTGGACGAAGCCGATATTTCCAGAAGAAAACTGTTTTGATGAAGTTTGACCAGGTTGCGTTCGACAGTTGCGCTTTGCCAACGTATTAAAATAACTTTAATGTGCCTAAGTTAAACGTTCAATCTCCCACGCAACTGTTTCTATCTGACAATTCTATCTGAAAGAAATACGTTAACCCGGGGGTTATGCACAAGGAGCCAGGTGATCTTGAATTTCACCCGGTAACCTGATCCCTCTGGCTACTTGTATAAAGCCCTCAGGGGTACGCCCACGAATTTTACCATCTATTTACATCGGCGGTTTCTTTCGTTTTTTCCTCTTGTGAAGAAGCTTTGGTTGTTTCGCCGTGTAACTGATACAATTCCATTGATAACGAATGTCTTTTGTGCGCCGATTTAACCAAAACTAGTTTGCTGTTGTTTCTTGCCAGTCAACCGGATTATTGAACACATAAAGAAACCAAAATGTACAATTGCTTCCTTTTGTGCGTAAATTTACAATAAAAAACTGAAGATGCAGGAAATTTCCAAGAGCCCTAAATGAGACCTCAGTCATTAACGAGGTATGAAATCGCCATTACCATGCCTGTTTCATTGAATCGATGAAATCAAACATTGAACTAGAAAAATGGTCGGGTAACAGCTGAAACCGCACGGATCTAATAGCGGGGCAACCATGAACATGGATGGAAAAACGGCCAGTCATTAACCAACTATTAATAAAACCGTCGATAGCGTTGCTCGGAATTCCCGCAAAGCCCAAAACTCATTTAAATATGCTCCAGACGAAATTATTAATCGACGAAGAAGTGGAAAAATTGGAAACATTGTGCAGGGATGCAGATGATACAGATTTCAAAGCAGAAAAGGTTGTGGACCGTCGGCTCCGCGCCCAAGATTGATGATGCTCCTGAAACCTCTGGGAGGTTTTAAACGGTTTTATTCTCTGGGGTTCAAAAGGTAGAAAATTGGCAACGTATTATAAATCAATCCGGTCCTATTCGAAAAGCTTTTGAATTAGCAAAGCGGCCAGTTCTTTTGTTGTCCTGTTCTGACGAGACGCGAATGGCTGCTTAAGGATAGTGTTTCTTGAATTTGGATCCTGCGGTATACAGGGTTGCTTTTTTTTCTATCTTGAAACGCTTAAATATTTCGCAAACGAGTGATCCGAGGAAAAAATGTTTCAAATAAGAAGAAAAACTTCGACCTTGTAGGCTAGGCAGGGGTCAACTTGAGAATTTCAATTGGGAACCACAACATTTTATTGGAGATTCGAATAGTACCTACGTCAGAAACGGGGAATAATTTATCTAAAACATTTTCTTCGATTTTGACGGGTGGCGCTGTAATCCATCAATTATCAATTTTCTCAAATGGTAACCACAACATTTTATTGTAGATTCGAATAGTACGTCAAAAACTGGAAATAATTTATCTAAAACATTTTCTTCGATTTTGACAGGTGGCGCTGTAATCCATCAATTATAATTTTTTTGCTTTAGATCTGCTGAACTATTATTATTATTGAAACGCTGAAAATTTCAGTGTGACCAGCAGCATCTATTAATGTCAGAGGGATATTCGGTCCGAAAATTGGTTGATGATGAAAATCAAATATGTACCTACAAGTCAACAAAACATCTATTTTAGCATAAAACTATGTACTCAATCAACAAAACATCTATTAAAACATAATTTTAAAGCAAATTTAAATCAGATATTTTTCGCCAAAAACGCCGAATCCGTATCGTCGGTTGCCTATCCCGATTCTGACGTAGCAGGTCATATCAACAAAGTGTTTCGTGTTTATTTTGTTGTTTTCGCAGCTTTGTTTTATT